TGAACAAACATGGAAAATAGCATACTTATAATTTTTTTTAGATCAATAATTTCAACCTGACCAGTCTTTGATGCTCATTCGTCTGGATTTACTTGTGGCGAACCTATTTATTACATATTTTTCAATATTCAAATCAACTTTCTTGTGAATATTAAGTATAGTTAGACCATTCAAACGCTCTTTACCCATGGTTGACCTTAGGTGGGTTTTCAAGCGCTTTATGGTTGCAAAGCTACTTTCCGCTGTTGCCGGTGATACAGGTAGAGTCACAAATATTTGCAGTGAAATCTTTATTGCTGGGAACAAACTCGCCCCAAAACAAAGTGCCTCGATTGCTGTAGAGGTCAAATCTGGTTTATTTTCCCATCTTTTTTGCCACATTATTTTCCAGCTCTTAGTTCTTGTTTTGATATGACTCAAGATTACTCATGCAAAGTTACCACCGCCATCAACTACCTAACTCAGCTACTCTACAGCACCAAACATTAGTTGATGTTCGGTGTCTATACAGTCTACAGCTAACTGAACACTCTGAACAGTAAACACTGATCATCTGGCAGCCACGTGATCGCCACCAATTATATGAACGGATATTCTTCTTCTCAACTGGTCGTAGATCCACTTCAGGTATGAACTAACGATTCGACGAGTTTTTCAGTCCATAAAATATTCACACCGTGTAGCAATCATCATATATTAATAATTGAATGGTAGATTTCTATAAATATTAAATAAGACTGGAAGAACCGACATTTTCGTGTTTTTTTATTCGAGTGTAGCCTGCTCTGGGGGGGCCCGGGCCCCTCTGCCCCGCCCCCTCGAACACGTCACTGCTGTGACACGGCATGAGATCACAGATAAGATATTGTTACAAGGGGCATGCGCATGTTATGAAATAATATAATATGCAGATGCACATTGTATACGTTGTACGTGTATAGTAACTTCAAAATATATTTTTGAAAGAAGATATTCAAAATTGATGGGGAGTATGAAGTTAAGTTTCTTTTGAAAAATATCTGTCTGCAGTTCACATGATAACAAACATTTTTGAACATTTTATCTGCTGGAACTCCTCAAAACCAATCTGGAGAATAGTTGTTTTGAACGAAGGGTAATCCACTCTCCCGAAAACGTACACGGATTGAACAGATTGGACGTAGGATTGGACCGATATTAATGGATATTATCGAATTTTATAGACACGATATTGGACATTTGTATTGCGAGAATAGGAACATGTGGCCAAGATTCTCGGTTTTGAATCTGTACTCGGATTGATAATACATGTATCATTTTTGGTAACTATAAGTGTAGGAATATTTTAATGTTATATCAACATGAACCTAAACCTAAATATGACCTCGATCCACGTGAGTCAAGACATCATAATATTTTCGTGAAAGGAGATGAGAAAACGGGAAAACTATCCCAGACTTGTTTCTGATTTAATTTGATGAGCTGTTGATTCTTCGCAGACCATGGACCGTTTCAATAATTTGGAACACAAAAAATAACGTGTAAGAAGGTGTGATATTTATCGTACATAATTTTGCAACAACTACAATAGCCAAGTGAGCTACGTGAGTGCGTTCATATACACGAGAAGGAGGTTTTTGTCTTGTAATTTTTTATCTTCCTCCACAAACACAACACTCACCATCACCACTGATAGCGTCTGAACAATCCCTCCCAGCACCCATTGGGTATCCTCAGTGAGATTACCTGTATAAAGGGTTTAGCCCTAGGAGATAGGACGCTCTGTGACGAACACTCCACATATGCACTCACATTCTTTGACCAACTCCAGCCTCCTCTGTCTCACTCGGAGGATTTTATCTATACAGTTCTTGTAGCATATTCAGTCTTTTTATATACACAACTAGCAGACCTCGCAAACGTTGTTCTGCTATGTATACATTATTTCTATTTTCTATAATATATTTTTTCAGTTCAATATTCATCAAGACACTATTATTATTTCAGTTTTTACTCTTCTAGTTTCGCTATTCATGAAAGCGTGTTTCTTTAGTTTTTCAAACTACCATTCATTTCAACTTCTTCTTAGTTCACTTGAATTTCTCAATTTTGACGAAAGAATCATAATATCCGACTCCTTGCACCCCAGATGAAAATTTCGAATAGAATCATAATTTTTTATCCCGAAAAACGTCCAGTTACAAGACTCGTCCTACTGGTTCCACCGTCTTGAATTTCCAAATCCGGCCCTTTCCAAATTTTGACAATAGAATCATAGTCTTCGACCCCGAAAACACCCAGATAACAATCCTGAAGAGAGTTGGATCATAATTACAATACTCGTCTGCCATATTAAATAGATCCGCCATCTTGAATTTCCTAATTTTGACGAAAGAATCATAATCTTCGATCCCAAGAACCACCAGATACCAAATCCGCCATCTTTAATTCCTTAATTTTGACGGAGAAAACATAATCCCCGATCACGAAAACCCCTAGGTACCAATTTTGGAAGGAATCGGATTATAATTACAAAACTCGTCCACCATATCGGTTCTGCCACCTTGAATTTCTGAATTCTGCCCGAATCTCCGAATTCCATATACCAATTTTGAATAGAAAACTCGTCCGATATATTAGATCCTCCATTTTGAATTTCCTAATGGTACCGGGATATATATCCTATAATCTTCTCTTGGTTGTAAGCTACCCCCCCACCAATCTTCAGCCAAATCGATCCAGTAGTTTCGGAGCAAAGAATCAAATCTTTCCTCTTTATAATAATTTAGTATAGATGTGTGTGATTATGTCTGTTGTAATCCCGGGTTCAAATATCTACTCAGCCTACTGTTTTTTAAATGTTTTTATCTTTTATTTTTTTCCTTCCTGATAAATGTACTTATGAGTCATTTACTGGGGCCGATAATGATTCGTTATTTCAATGGGTTGCGTGCAAGAACTGTCAGATGACCGACCCTGGAGGAACAACATTGAAACACAACCTCACTTTTCTTATTTGGTTACAAGTGATTGAAATAGTTTTTCACAATTATTTTGGCATAGGAATCGTATTTTCCGGCTATTCATTAATTCGCTCATGCCATCACATTGTGCTGTTCTACAATGCACAAAAACTGCAGCAGAAGACGGAGGAATCCTGTTGGTACATTATGATTCAAAAGTAAGTATCTACTGTAGTCACTAACATATAGTTTTCATTTTTCAAATTTGGTAATTTCTCTGATTTCTCATCTGAATTCCTTCTTGCAATATAGGAGCTAATGAAAATACACATGAAATTTCTAAAATAATGCAAGAAGATTGGATTCATGCAATCAAACGGGAGGACTGGTCTGACATGCTGACGAAATATGATCGTGTGTGTTGTAGACATTTTCAATCTGCAGAAGTGGCAGAAGGAATTTAAATAAGGAATGACAACATTTCATAATGAAAAATATGTGAGATTATTATACAGGATGTTTCATAATTGGATGTCAATATTTGGGGAGGCGATTCTTAGGCCCATTCTAAGAAGAAAGTTTCATATGAACGTATGACCTAAACGTCCTAAGTTTTGAGATACAGGATGGTAAAGTTTTCAAAAATTGATAGTTTTTTATTAATATCTGTAATTCCACTCCAGATATTCTGATGAAATTCGGCATACATGTACTTTGTATCAAGAGGCATCAGTTGGTGCAACACATTTTTGTTTTGGTTGCCACCAGTGGCGTTCGTATGGAATTTCACATACCTATTTTGGCAGACATTGATGGTACGCCACTGATTAATCTCTAAATTGAAATCATTCCTGAAATTTCCAATCATTTCTAAGCAAATTTGATCACCACAATTTTTTCAATCTGATGCACGGTTTTCGATTAAAAAAATAAAAAACTTTTCACTACATGATTATATCAATATCGTTAATATGACAATATCACAATGCAGAGAAATAGATTTTATATTTTAGATCAAATTTCAGAAATACAATTCATAGTTTATGAACTTTGTATTCGTGTTTGGTATTTTGGAATTATAACTTTTCATTGTAGTAGGCTATATTAATTTTTGAGAACTTTACCACCCTGTATCTCAAAAGTTAGGACGTTTAGGTCATACGTTCATATGAAACTTTCTTCTTAGAATGGGCCCAAGAATCGCCTCCTCGAATATTGACATTCAATTATGAAACACCCTGTATACCAGGAAAATCATATTCCTTCGGCTCTCGCTGCATCTTTTGTGCATTGTACAACAGCACAGTGCGAAGGCATGCTTGAATTATTGAATAGCGCAAAAAACAGAATTCGTTTGCCATAATATTGTGAAAAACTATTTCAATCCTTTGATTCCTCTGTAACCAAATGAAAAAGTGAGGTTGTGTTTCAATAATTCACAGAAGAGTGAGGTTGTGTTCCAATATTTTACCTCCGGATAGAGGTTATGTTCTCAAAGGTTCTCTTCTGCCGCGTTAGGGTTTTCATAATTTGTGAACCGTTCTGAAATAGTCCTAGGATTCGAAACGACTGATGCGCACTAGTTCTACGCAGTTCGAGAACGATTCTTGAACAGTTCTGAAATCGAAACCCGAATGAACCTAGTGAATAGCTGTTTCAATGATAAATTTTCATTGTCCGGAAGTGTCAAAGCTAAGTGGAATTCGTTTCTCTAGCCGCCTATTTCCGCAGCAACTTACAGATACTGCGGCGGCAACTCGATCCGACCGATTCGACAGATAAACGAGGACAAATTCTGGATAGAGGTTATGTTCTCAGAGGTTCTCTTCTGCCGCGTTCGGGTTTTCATAATTTGTGAACCGTTCTGAAACAGTCCTAGGATTTGAAACGAGTGCGTACTAGTTCTACGCAGTTCGGGAACAATTCTTGAACAGTTCTGAAATCGGAACCCGAATGAACCTAGTGATTCGCTGTTTCAATGATGAATTTTCATCGTTCGGAAGTGTCAAAGCTGAGTGGAATCTGTGTCTCTAGCCGCCTGTTTCCGCAGCAACTTACAGATATTGCGGCGGCGACCCCGACCGATTCGACGGATAGACGAGGACGCTGGTGGACGTCGGTTCCTCGTCGTCGCCCTTGCGTCTGTTGCGCCGCAGGAAGAAGAACCCGACGAGCACGGTGAGCAGGAGCAGGAGGCACGCCAGGCCGGCAGCCAGCGAGTACGGATACAGCAGGCCTGCAACGGAAAATGGGTGGCAATATTACGGAGAAGCCGAACGGAGATGAGGCGAAAAAGGTATTTTTTCTGCAACCGACACAAAAGTCGTCCATTTTGATACCAAAACTAGCTTTTGAATTGACGTTTCAATTACTGACACAAAAATAGGTATGTTGCTAGGCAACATATTCAGTTCCTAGGAGCTAAAGTTGAATTTTAGTTCCTAGGAGCTAAAGTTGAACTTTAGCTCCTAGGGACTGAAAAGGATGTACTGGACGTCATCAAGAATAAAGAACATTGTGACGGTTGGTTATTTGGGTTGAGACCATGTTGAGACGCATACGAGACGAGATCATCGCACGTACATAGGGAGGATAGGTAGAAGAGGTAGGTAGATATTGGAATTTGTTTTTTTACTTTCGGCAGAGAATCCCAAAGCTCTGCCGTTCCATAGGCGAACGAGTTTGGAGATACAATACTTATTTGATGGTGTATTGTTATTTGAATGCCTACGCCGAGAAGTAACTTTTCGCGAAGTAGTCTCTTCGCGTACGATTGCACGAAAAAGTTGTTTATTTTTTTGGGAAAATGATATGTATACGGATTTATTTCAGATGCCTTTTCCTATCAGATTCAGAATCAGTTTCCCAAAAATCCCTCGATTCATATTTCCAAAATCTCAATCTCAATCTAAAAAAGTCATTTCGAAATCACTTTCTCTGAAATAATTCTATTGTATTTCAAACGCCTCCATACCGTATTGTTTTCTCTAACCAAGTGATACACTCCGTATCTTCAACCTGTTACCAGTGTTACCAGCACGTTACCAGTCTCTAGTTAACATAAAAGAAATTTAAGAGTCGCCGTTTAAGCACGTTTAAGGCAGGTGGGTGGGTTTATTATGTAGAAGATTTGGAATAGATCGATACTCTTTTTGATATACTTTTTGTACATGAATCTTCATGAATCTGTCATGCAATTGTCGATTCAAATTATAGGCTTTTGTTTTTATTCTTCCAATCAAATCTGACACCGATTACTATCGTAGAAATGAGTAGATCTGAGCTCCAGGTCTCCCTCTCGACGCGTAGCGGAGTGTGACAACAAACCGTGAGCTAAAATCTAATATTTTTATCGTGTATAATATACTATTTTTTCTGTGACAGGAAGAAGGACGAATCAATATTGGGATAACTTTACATTATAATAAAATCAGAAAAATATCGACGTGAAATTTGAAGTTTTTAATTTTTTTTATCGCTTGGAGCGCAGAAATGGCTTCTGCGTTGCAGGCATCTTCATCATTCTTTTGAATTATTCAAATATCTGTCACCTATCAGTCTAATTCTGTGATTTCAAAAATTGCGAATTTAGTGGTTGTTTAGTAAATTACGAAACCGCGAAGTCGAATGGAAGATAAAAGGATGAAGTTTCAAACTTTTTACTGGCCTTTGAGATCAGAACTCTGAGCAACCGTCGGGTAGGTTTCTCCACATCGGTTCGCTCTTGACATTTCCAGTGGACCCCGCAGAATGCTCGGTTCTTGAAAAGTTGGAACCAGTGCGACGAGTGGAAAACGCAATAGTCGGGGCTTGTTTTGCGAAAAGCCAAATCCTAGAAGCATTTCATGTAACAATTGGATAAATGACGTTAACCCCCTATTTCGACCCCGCTGAATCCGAAAATACCGTTTATCAAGTCGAAATTCCAACCGGAAGTGAGATATTCAAGATGGCGTCCAAAATACCCCTAAAATCTAATTATTTTCTACTTTCGGTCAGCTATACGATTGAGGTGTCGATGTCTATGATTTCGGGGGTGTAAAATACGATGAGACACTCAAAAAATGATTTGGAGCATTGAAAGTTCATCGAATGATCAAATTTTGACGAAATAGACCAAAATTCCAAAGAACTTGTGAAAACGTGTTGCATAATGTATATGCTTGCATACGCTTTCGAGGGTTTAATTGCGGCTGGAAAATTGGTGATGGACGGTAAGTCCCAATCTTGATGACTTTGCTACCTATTCCCAAGTCATGTCCCGAATTTGGAGCTTGTGGCTGCATGGGGCTATCCGGCCACTGCGGCACGAAGCAGTGTGGCTGCAGGGAGCCGAATGGAGCAGGAAAGATGAGGAAGACTACTAATAGTGAACTTTTTTTTTTCCAAAATATAAGAAATGAAGGCTTGGACAATGTTCAGATGCTTTTTTGGCTCATAAACGTATCGAGCACCCTCGAAAACGTATGCAAGCATGTACATTATACAACACGTTTTCAAGCTCTTTGGAATTTTGGCCCATTTCGTCAAAATTTGATCATTCGATGAACTTTCAAAGCTCCAAATCATTTTTTGAGTGTCTCATCGTATTCTACACCCCCGAAAACATAGACATCGACACCTCAATCGTATAGCTGACCGAAAGTAGAAAATAATTTGATTTTAGGGGTATTCTGGACGCCATCTTGAATATCTCACTTCCGGTTGGAATTTCGACTTGATAAACGGTATTTTCGGATTCAGCGGGGTCAAAATAGGGGGTTAACAGCATTTATCCAATTGTTACATGAAATGCTTCTAGGATTGTAGAGGAGGGCTTTTTTTGGAATTTAGCCCCGACTACAATAAAAGTAAGTACCTACTCACCTAACTCCTTTATTGACTATGAATGTAAATATTTCTCCTATTCAAAATCTCATGAGAAGGCGGAGTTGTAATGAAGTGGTAATAAAATGAAGGAACATTCAAACGAAAGTGCATCGTTGTGAAGAGAATATCGACTGTACGATGAAATAGAGCACTTTAATTTCATTTCAATGCATTGAAAATATCTATACAAGGTGCTCCATGTAAGAGTGCAAGTGAGGTGTATTCGTCTTCCACTTGAGTATGTACCTGCGGAGTTTTAGAGCAACTCGAATGATTTGGGATATTGGTTCTAATCAAATGAATTTCCAAAGTCGACGAGGTTCCGTTCTGAGGAGTTTAAATGTGTTATATCTTCGTTCATTGAAGATTTAAAAATCTGGAATCATTGATTTTTATGGAAATAAAATGGTAATTTTTGTGCCTGGGCCGCGAAATACCTTTTTAGCGTGCCGAAGCCGTTTGCGGCCGAGGCAACATAATATAGAAGTCGTTAAAAAGTTTCGGGACTATGGTATACAGTGTATACACACATTTTTTTTATAATTCTGCTACTTTCATCAACCTTGTTCATTTCAACACGGATATTAATTATGAAACAGATATTGGACAATGGAGACACATTTACTTTATATAATGAAACGAATTTTCCGCCCATAGAAAAACTTGGGCGTAATCAAGTGTCTCTATATGTTCCTACCCGACTTGCTTGCGATTATTTATTATACAAGGAAAAAAATTAGAAGATTATAGCTCCAGGTTGTGAGCTAAAATCTAATATTTTTCCCGTGTATAATACACGATTTTTTTCTGTGACAGAAGGAAGGACGAATCAATATTGACAAATTATTACATTATTGCGAAATCTGAAAATTATCGACGTGAAATCTTGAGTTTTTAACAGTAGTGACACCTGCGTTGTAGGCATCATCATCATTCTCTCGAAGTAATCAAATATCTGATGTCACTATTGTCAGTCTAATTCTGTGATTTGATTTCAAAAAATTGCGAATTTAGTGGTTGTTTAGTAATATACGTAACCGCCAAGTCGAATGGAAGAAAAAAGGACTTGCAGTTTTTTCTCGGAAACGGTATTATTGACTCATTTTTTGGAACAAAAGCCATCAACAGTGTATATATATGTGATATACAGTATGATGCAAATGTATGGAATAAATTCGTTATTTCAGAAATGGGCGACATTTGAAGAAATTCCAAAAACACGTGAGTTTTAATTTTTGAAGCCTCATCTCATGACATTCATATGAGAGAAGTTACGTCACTGGTGTTGGAGTAATGACGTAATGGACGATTTTTTCAAATACAAACAGGGGTCATGTGACATCTCGTTTGAAAGGTCTACTGATCGTCTATCCAACAGTCAGAATTTTGCATGAGCAGATTGAAATTAAAATGGATTATCCTTTGGTTAACTGAATCTTGCAGAGGTCTGCTACTGAGAATTGAACATCGAAGGGTCGTCTAGTTAAAAAAATACACAATAAAAAAAGTTCTGAACTTTAGTTTTTGGATTTTTTTCGGGAGTCGTCTTGTTTTGAAATGAATTTATTCCATACATTTGCATCATACTGTATATCCGGGAAAAAAGTACTCACTTTTTTCCGCTTTTTTCCCATGGTAAAAAAGTAATTTATGAAAAGTGACCTTCCAACAGAGATGAAATGCCAAACTTTTTTCCCCGTCACAGAAAAAAAAAACAATTTCTTGTGCAATCGTCAAAATCATTGACCTATAGATAATTAAAAATGAATATGCTTCTAATTTAAAATCAACTGCAGCTCAATATGGTTAACGAAGTCAAGGTCACTGATATGAAAATGAAATATTTGAGTGTTTCAAAGTAGGTATTTCTTAACAACCCTTTAACGTTAACTATCGTTTCTATATAGTAACGAAAGTTGAATAAGTGACATTTTGTTTTCGGTTAATAGAGATTGAATGTCAAACTTTGTTTCCGTGTTTTCGGTTAATAGAGATTGAATGTCAAACTTTGTTTCAGTCACAGAAGAAAGATTATAATGATATAAACGGCTTTGTAGAAAAATTATGTAGGGTTCATTCGTCGAGAACATTCTTTGACGCTCGCGAACATTTTACCATTCTCTCGCTTCAAAAAATATCACTTACATCATACGTTGCACAACATGCTATTGACAGTTTTTGACGAAACAAAAATATGGTCTGACACTGATAATAACCGTGTTATTGGGAACAATTAACTTACAACGGGTACTAAATTTCAGTGCTGCTAGCAAAAAAGTTATACTTATGTTGCTATATATCACCGAAAGTATTCGTAATTTTCCAAGTTCCAGAACGGCATTTTGTTGGGCATCAAATTGCACAACT